CTTAACAAACATCTAGAAATCAATAACTTTCACCAGCACCACCATACCTCCCCCAACGATCCCCCGTATAGCCTTAAAAAACATCTGGAAATTAATAACTTTTATCCAGCACCACCATACCCCCCAACGATCCCCCGTATAGCCTTAAAAAACATCTGGAAATTAATAACTTTTATCCAGCACCACCATACCCCCCAACGATCCCCCGTATAGCCTTAAAAAACATCTGGAAATTAATAACTTTTACCAGCACCACCATACCCCCCCCCCCCCAACGATCCCCCGTATAGCCTTGCAAGTGCTGTTAGCGAGCACCTATGACGGCCGGAACGGCACACGAGGGGGGGTGGGTGGCCAGCACCACGCCCGACCGCCTTTGTCTCCCCAGTGGCGATGTTTGCATACCGCACCAGGTACTCCTTTGAGGCTGAGTCGACCTAGGGGAGGCTCAGGACCGGTTCAAATAATCGCCACCGGTGTTGTGCCGTGAGTGGGAATCGAACTCGGGTCAACGGGTTTGTAGCTACACGCGCTAACCACTACACTACCGCTCCCCACACACACAGGGACGCAACTTGCTGCACTTTAGCCGCCCGGCGTTCCGCTCGTTGTTGTGAGCGTCGCTTCTCTGCCCTCCGTTGTGCTTCCAACTGCCCAGTAGCAGCTCACACAAGGACACACACACAGATAGAACACACACACAGACACACATAGACACACACAGGTGGAACACACACACACAAGGACACACGTACAGGGGAAACACACAGATGCACACACACACAGGTAGAACTCTCATTAGGGACACACACACTCTGGACACACACACACACACTGGACACACACACACACGAGACACACACACGAGACACACACACACACTCTGGACACACACACACGAGGGGGACACTCTGGACAATGCGGCCCACCAAAGCAGCCGTCTCCGACACAAGGACACAACAACAAGCAGCGGGTCAATGCGGGGGAGGTCAGCTGAGGTCAGCTGTCAGAGGCAGCGGTGTTTGCGTGAACACGGCCGTGTTTACATTCACAGGCAGCCTTGAATACGGCACTCACAGATACAGGAGACACACCACTCACAGATACAGGAGACACACCACTCACAGATACAGGAGAGACACCACTCATAGATACAGGAGACACACCACTCACAGATACAGGAGACACACCACTCATAGATACAGGAGACACACCACTCATAGATACAGGAGACACACCACTCACAGATACAGGAGACACACCACTCATAGATACAGGAGACACGCCACTCATAGATACAGGAGACACGCCACTCACAGATACAGGAGACACACCACTCATCCATACAGGAGACACACCACTCATAGATACAGGAGACACACCACTCATAGATACAGGAGACACACCACTCATAGATACAGGAGACACACCACTCACAGATACAGGAGACACACCACTCATAGATACAGGAGACACGCCACTCACAGATACAGGAGACACACCACTCATAGATACAGGAGACACACCACTCATCCATACAGGAGACACACCACTCACAGATACAGGAGACACACCACTCACAGATACAGGAGACACACCACTCATCCATACAGGAGACACACCACTCACAGATACAGGAGACACACCACTCATAGATACAGGAGACACACCACTCATCCATACAGGAGACACACCACTCACAGATACAGGAGACACACCACTCACAGATACAGGAGACACACCACTCACAGATACAGGAGACACACCACTCACAGATACAGGAGACACACCACTCCCAGATACAGGAGACACACCACTCATAGATACAGGAGACACACCACTCACAGATACAGGAGACACACCACTCACAGATACAGGAGACACACCACTCATAGATACAGGAGACACACCACTCACAGATACAGGAGACACACCACTCACAGATACAGGAGACACACCACTCATAGATACAGGAGACACACCACTCACAGATACAGGAGACACACCACTCACAGATACAGGAGACACACCACTCACATATACAGGAGACACACCACTCATAGATACAGAAGACACACCACTCACAGATACAGGAAACACACCACTCACAGATACAGGAGACACACCACTCACATATACAGGAGACACACCACTCACAGATACAGGAGACACACCACTCACATATACAGGAGACACGCCACTCATAGATACAGGAGACACACCACTCACAGATACAGGAGACACACCACTCATCCATACAGGAGACACACCACTCATAGATACAGGAGACACACCACTCACAGATACAGGAGACACGCCACTCATAGATACAGGAGACACACCACTCATCCATACAGGAGACACACCACTCACAGATACAGGAGACACACCACTCACAGATACAGGAGACACACCACTCACAGATACAGGAGACACACCACTCACAGATACAGGAGACACACCACTCACAGATACAGGAGACACACCACTCACAGATACAGGAGACACACCACTCATAGATACAGGAGACACACCACTCATAGATACAGGAGACACACCACTCACAGATACAGGAGACACACCACTCATCCATACAGGAGACACACCACTCACATATACAGGAGACACACCACTCACAGATACAGGAGACACACCACTCATCCATACAGGAGACACACCACTCATAGATACAGGAGACACACCACTCACAGATACAGGAAACACACCACTCACAGATACAGGAGACACACCACTCATAGATACAGGAGACACACCACTCATAGATACAGGAGACACACCACTCATAGATACAGGAGACACACCACTCATAGATACAGGAGACACACCACTCATAGATACAGGAGACACACCACTCATAGATACAGGAGACACACCACTCATAGATACAGGAGACACACCACTCACAGATACAGGAGACACACCACTCATAGATACAGGAGACACACCACTCACAGATACAGGAGAAACACCACTCACAGATACAGGAGACACACCACTCATAGATACAGGAGACACACCACTCATAGATACAGGAGACACACCACTCATAGATACAGGAGACACACCACTCATAGATACAGGAGACACACCACTCATAGATACAGGAGACACACCACTCATAGATACAGGAGACACACCACTCACAGATACAGGAGACACACCACTCATAGATACAGGAGACACACCACTCATAGATACAGGAGACACACCACTCACAGATACAGGAGACACACCACTCATAGATACAGGAGACACACCACTCACAGATACAGGAGACACACCACTCACAGATACAGGAGACACACCACTCACAGATACAGGAGACACACCACTCACAGATACAGGAGACACGCCACTCATAGATACAGGAGACACACCACTCACAGATACAGGAGACACACCACTCATCCATACAGGAGACACACCACTCACAGACACAAGAGACAAACCACTCACACATACAAGACACCCACCACTCATTCATACAGGACACCCAACACTCACTCATGCAGGACACCCATCACTTACTAATACAGGACACCCATCACTCACTCATACAGAACACCCACCACTCATTCATACAGGACACCCAACACTTACTAATACATGACACCCACCACTCATTCATACAGGACACCCAACACTCACTCATACAGGACACCCAGTACCCATACATACAGGACACCCAGCTCTCATAGATACAGGGGACACCACTCATTCATAGATGACACCCAGTACCCATTCATACAGGACACCCAACACTTACTAATACATGACACCCGGCACTCATTCATACAGAACACCCAACACTCATCCATACAGGACACCCAACACTCATTCATACAGGACACCCAACACTCATTCATACAGGACACCCAACACTCATTCATACAGGACACCCAACACTCATTCATACAGGACACCGAGCATTTACTCATACAGGTCACCCGGCACTCATTCATACAGGAGACACACCACTCACATATACAGAAGACACACCACTCATTCATACAGGACACCCAACACTTACTAATACATGACACCCGGCACTCATTCATACAGAACACCCAACACTCATCCATACAGGACACCCAACACTCATTCATACAGGACACCCAACACTCATTCATACAGGACACCCAACACTCATTCATACAGGACACCCAACACTCATTCATACAGGACACCGAGCATTTACTCATACAGGTCACCCGGCACTCATTCATACAGGAGACACACCACTCACATATACAGGAGACACACCACTCATTCATACAGGACACCCAACACCATGAGATAGGACGGTCCCACCAGACAGGACACCCTGGCACGCTGCTGGACAGGAACGTCGGACAACACACCCACGCGACTCGAGGGTTGGGGGTAGGTGGGGGGGTCACCCCCATCACTCAACATCATCATCGTGCGTTTGCAGAGTCACGGTGATGCGAGATGCAGCTGCGGCTGTATCAGCTGCGGAATCTGAAGCTGCTGCTGCTGCAGCTGCCGCATCCGCATTGTTTCAAGTTTCAAGTTCATGTATTAGGTATATAGCCCTGTGAGCCATTCGGCTCTTGCATCGGGTGCAACCGCAACAAACAAAGACGCTGTCTCCCCGACAGACCTGGTCTTCACCTGAGGACGGCTGCTTGCGTTGTGGCCGAAACGTCGTGAGAATTATTTTATTGTTTTATTTTTATTATTTTATTACGTTTTATTTTTATTATTTTATTATGTTAAATTTTTCTTATTTTATTATGTTTTACTTTTTATATTTTATTATGTTTTCTTTTTATTATTTTATTACTTCCCTTCTACGTGACTTTAACGAAAGAACCAAGAAGAAGAAAAAAACATGAACAAGAAAACTACGCGCAAACTGAAAATCCAAGAAAAGACAGCTAAATATTGCAGAAAAAGCACCGTACAGGCGTACACCAACCCTGTGTCCGCGTGCCGGGGGGGGGGGGGGGGCTCACCTTGATCAGGTCCAGGGGGTGCGTGCAGCAGGCCGCGCCCGCAGAGGCGAGACCCCCAAAATACCAGCGAGACACGCGCCTCGAGTCGCCCCCCATTACGAGATGCCGCTGATGCTGCTTGTACTGATGCTGATGCTGCTGCTGCTTGTGCTGATGCTGATGCTTGTGCTGATGGTGCTTGTGCTGCTGCTTGTGCTGATGCTGCTGCTGCTCGTGCTGATGCTGATGCTTGTGCTGATGCTGCTTGTGCTGCTGCTTGTGTTGATGCTGCTGATGATGCTGCTATTGCTGATGCTGATACTGCTTGTGCTGATGCTGTTACTAGTGCTGGTTCTGCTGTAGATGATGCTGCTACTTGCTAGTGCTGCTGCTGCTCGTGCTGATGCTGCTGCTGATGCTTGTGCTGATTCTGCTGCTGCTGATGCCTCGTCTGCTGATGCTGCTAGTGTTGATTCTGCTGTGGCTTCTGCTGCTAGTACTGGTTCTGCTGCTGCTCGTTCTGATGCCGCGTCTGCTGCTGATGCTGCTGCTGCTATTGCTGACACTACTGCTAGTGCTGATACTGCTGCTAGTGCTGATACTGCTGCTAGTGCTGATACTGCTGCTAGTGCTGATGCTGCTGCTAGTGCTGATGCTGCTGTGGCTGCTGATGCTGCTGCTGCTGCCGCTGCTATTACTGACGCTGCTGCTACTGCTGCTTGCTTGAAAGTGCTTCTTGCCGCCGCGTGTTACTGCTGCTGCTACGCGCACTGCTGCCTCTAATGCCCTCGCCGCTGACGATGCGAGTGATGACTTTCTTTAAACTCCCGCTGTTACGACTGACGTGCACTCTCTCACGCCTCCTCCGCCTCGCTCGCTCGCTCACCACTACCAGCAGCACCGCTCTTGCTGCTGCTACTGCTGCTACTACTGCTGCTGCTGATGACCGGATACTGACAGAGAGACGCGCTCTGACCGCTGCCAAAAAGAGCGAGGAGAGGAGGAGGAGGAGCCGTCGAACCGAGCCAGCGGGAGCGGGGCGACACCCACCGCCACACCTCTCTCTCTCCTCTCTCTCCCACCCCCCTCCTCCTCCTCCTATATAATGTCCTCTCTTCTCTCCCCTGTCCTCCCCTGCCCTCTCTCCTCCCCTCTCTCCTGCCCTATTTCCTCCCTCTCCCCTCTCTCCTCCCCTCTCTCCTGCCCTCTCTCCTCCCCACAATCATCCGCTCACTCTCTCGGCGCGCTCACGCTGAGAGGCGGGGCCACGTGGCCGTGCGGTGCCACGTGGTCCCCGCCTCCTCGCTACTTCCTGGTCACGTGCCGTCACGTGACGGGGAAAATGCCCCTAACCCCCCCCTCTCTCCCGCTGGGCACGATCAGCTGTGCGTGACGTCACGCCGGGTGGCGTGGGGGGCGGGGCGACCTCGCCTGTCACTCAAGAGCCCTGCGATTATGCCGCTGTCGATTATTTAGAGTTACGATTCGATGAGTCGATTATGGCGGGCAAGGATTCTATTTTCTTCTTGGTTCTTTCGGTAAAGTCACGTAGAATGGAAATAATAAAATAATGAAAGTAAAACATTATTTTCTTATATTACAATATTATTTGATTATTTTTATTTTAGAAAAATTATTTTATTATTTCCATTCTACGTGACTTTACCGAAAGAACAAAGAAGATGAATCCCTGCAGTCACGAAAGCTTTAAATCGAAACGAATCTATTGTTCGATTATTGGTGAAGCGATCGTTCGGAATAACGATTCCGGGATAAGAGATTGGTTATAACACGATCGATTCAATTGGTCGATTTATTATGGGCGACAGGGTTCGATTAATCGATTATCGGTGGCGCTATAATTGAAGGGGCAAGATTCGATTAATTGATTGGTTGCAGCCCGATCGTTGCGAGTCGATTAATACTGGGAATGATCAGTTTAAGTCGGGGTCACAAACCTGTCAACCCATAGGGGCCGTCCATAAATGACGTCACGCGATTTTAGACGATTTTTGACCCCCCCCCTCGTCTCACGACGTCACAAAAAGTCAGACCCCCCCCTTAAATATGACGTCACAAAGCTCTGCCCCACCCCCCCAAAACCATATTTCCATTTTGAAACTAAAACATGCTTCAAATCGCTTTAAGCTATCGTCATTGTAGTGCGTATTTAATGTGGCGCTGCACTCTGATGTTGTAGGAGTGTTGTTGTAACAATTAGTGTTGTTATAACCATTAGTGTTGTTGTAAAGTTGAGCATTTTGACGTGACGTCACATTTCTCACCCCCCCCCCCCTCGTCACACATCGTCACAAATGTCTGACCCCCCCTCCCTAGGTGCGTGACGTCATTTATGGACGGCCCCTTACGCTTTAGCCATACAGTAGTCTTGTGCAGGGAAATTGAGTTTTCAGGTCCGTACGGCGTACTGCCGTTTCAATACTGGCAACAACAACAACAATGTGTCTTATTGTTTGTGATTTTCCCTCGTGATGGGATTTTGTAGGATGAACGTTGAGATTTATAAGGGATACGGGGTTACTAATAAGGTCTGGATTGGTCTGTGATAATGTAGGGCACCGATAAGGGGTTGACAGGTATGGGATTACGTTCTTGGAAGACATCAACTGATACCACGTGAAGTGATCAGCTAGTTCTAATAAGAATTAACAAAAATACAGGAGATACGTTCCAGGGCTCCAATACTCCATATGGAAAGCCAGCGTTGTTAGTCTATGGGCAGTGTTAGTCTATGATGGGTAGTGTTAGTCTAGGGGCTGTGTTAGTCTATGGGTAGTGTTAGTCTATGGGTAGTGTTAGCCTATGGGTAGTGTTGAGTCTATGGGCAGTGTGAGTCTATGGGCAGTGTGAGTCTATGGGCAGTGTGAGTCTATGGGCAGTGTTGAGTCTATGGGCAGTGTGAGTCTATGGGCAGTGTTGAGTCTATGGGTAGTGTGAGTCTATGGGCAGTGTTGAGTCTATGGGCAGTGTGAGTCTATGGGCAGTGTTGAGTCTATGGGCAGTGTTAGCCTATGGGTAGTGTTAGTCTATGGGTAGTGTGAGTCTATGGGTAGTGTTGAGTCTATGGGCAGTGTTAGTGTATGGACAGTGTTAGCCTATGGGCAGTGTTGAGTCTATGGACAGTGTTAGCCTATGGGCAGTGTTGAGTCTATGGGTAGTGTGAGTCTATGAGCAGTGTTAGTATATGGACAGTGTTAGCCTATGGGCTGTGTTGAGTCTATGGGTAGTGTTAGTCTATGGGTAGTGTTAGTCTATGGGCAGTGTTAGTCTATGGGCAGTGTTAGTATATGGGTAGTGTTAGCCTATGGGCAGTGTTAGTCTATGGGTAGTGTTAGTCTATGGGTAGTGTTAGTCTATGGGCAGTGTTAGTCTATGGGCAGTGTTAGTCTATAGGTAGTGTTAGTCTATGGGTAGTGTTAGTCTATGGGTAGTGTTAGCCTATGGGCAGTGTTAGTATATGGGGAGTGTTAGTTTGTGGGCAGTGTTAGTCTATGGACAGTGTTAGTCTATGGGCAGTGTTAGTGTATGGGTAGTGTTAGTCTATGGGTAGTGTTAGTCTATGGGTAGTGTTAGTCTACGGGTAGTGTTTGTCTATGGGTAGTGTTAGTCTATGGGTAGTGTTTGTCTATGGGTAGCAGAGGTGTGGACTCGAGTCATGTGACTTGGACTCGAGTCAGACTCGAGTCATGAATTTGATGACTTGAGACTCGACTTGGACTTGCATAACAATGACTTTGTCCCACCTCTGAGGTGTGGACTCGAGTCATGTGACTTGGACTCGAGTCAGACTCGAGTCATGAATTTGATGACTTGAGACTCGACTTGGACTTGCATAACAATGACTTTGTCCCACCTCTGATGGGTAGTGTTTGTCTATGGGCAGTGTTAGTCTATGGGCAGTGTTAGTGTATGGGTAGTGTTAGTCTATGGGCAGTGTTAGTCTATGATGGGCAGTGTTAGTCTATGGGTAGTGTTGAGTCTATGGACAGTGTTAGTCTATGGGTAGTGTTTGTCTATGAGCAGTGTTAGTCTATGGGCAGTGTTAGTCTATGGGCAGTGTTAGTCTAAGCAGTGTGAGTCTACGTGCAATGTGAGTCTATTTGCAGTGTGTCAGCCAACGCGCGCCTAAGTCCACGCCTTGCTGTGAGCCCAAGGATAGATCTGATCGATTCATCGTTCACATGCTGCCTGCCTCCCCCCTACCCCGTGAACAACTTGGATTAGCACGGTTGAAGGAAGTTCAACGTGCACGCAGAATGCCCCATTACACCAGAGGTCGCAAACGGGTTTTGATTCCTTACCCGTACCCGGCCGCACCAGGGTCGCAAACGAGTACTCGTACCCGGCCGGGTACGGGTAGCCGGGCATCGGGTAGGGTACGGGTATCGGGTACCCGGCTGCGACCTTCTGCACCACACGCATCTAAGAATTTCTGCAGCGGAATCCAGCAGAGGGCGGAACGCATCCACGTGGGCAGACCGTACGCGCAGCGTGGAAACATTCTAGATTTGAAGCTTTCGTGACGGCAACGATTCATACTCTTAGGTTTTTTTCGGTAAAGTCACGTAGGTTTTTTTTAAATTATCATTTATCATTATTATTTTATTTTATTATTATTATTTTTCCTACGTGACTTTACCGAAAAAAAACCTAATAGCGTGTAAACTCTTTGGTTCTTTCGGTAAAGTCACTTATTTAGAAATAAAATATTTTAAATCGCAACACAAGCAATCATCATCAGGTGGGAAAACCACGGCAATAAAAAATTGCTCAAGTGGGAGAGAGAGAGCTGTCGTGGCTAGAGGTTATATAAACCTGTTACAGTCGATACGTCGTGAGTTCTTTTATTTCTAACTAAGTGACTTTACAGAAATAACCAAAGAGTTTATACGTTAATTCTAGATTTGAAGTTTTCGTGACTGCGACGATTCAAACTCTTAGGTTTTTTCGGTAAAATCACGCAGGTGAAAAATAAATAATAAAAATAAATTGTAAAAATAATATAAATAAAAATAGAAATAAAATAAAAATCACGACGTTTCGGAGGCAACACAAGTCTCCGTCATCAGGTGGGACCGTCACAGCTGAATTTACTGTATCAAGTGAGCATATAGTTTACACGTTATTAGGTTTATTCCGATAAAAGTCACGTATGTCAAAAAAATATAATAAATGATTCATAAAAATATAAAAAAATATTTTTTTTTACCTACGTGACTCTACCGGAAAAACCCTAAGAGTATGAATCCTTGCAGTCACGAAAAACATTTGTCATTGAGTGTCCGTGCGCCCCCTGACGGGCATGTGTATCATATTTATACACAGGATCTCCATATATATGAAAGGCCAAGTTGTGATTATGTGTCTGTTCAAAATGTTTAGCTACTTCCCGACATGCAACAAACTTTAAATTTGCCATGTGGGTACTTTCCCGACTGTACACCATGCACAAATTATAAAAATACACTTTTGTGTTTTTTTTTTGGGGGGGGGGGGGGGGGGGGGGCTCAATAATGCATGTCATTTTTGCACGGCAAGTGAGCTGTGACGTCACGTCTGTCACGTGACCCACGCATGTGGAAGCGTAAGGCATTGTAGTGTAGTGGGTAGCGCGCCGCGCTACGAACCCGGCGGCCCGAGTTCGATTCCCGCTCACGGCCACCACCGGTGACGATTATTTGAACCGGTGATAGAGCAAATCTGAGATCAGATTTGGAATCAGCACCCTGAAATTAGTCTAAAACAGCTACAAAAGTCCAGGCCAGAAAAAATTGTGTTTTTTTTTTGTTGACCAAATATACAGCAGGCGCCAGGGTCGGGATCGAACCCACGACCTCCTGCATACCAGGCGAGGTAGTTAACATCTCCTAGCCACCGCGATGATGAGGGAGACACGCAAACTCCAAATATACAGCAGGCGTCAGGGTCGGGATCGGGATCGAACCCACGACCTCCTGCATACCAGGCGAGGTAGTTAACATCTCCCCACTCACCCACCCACTCACCCACCCACCCACTCACCCACTCACTCACCCACCCACCCACTCACCCACCCACCCACTCACTCCACC